AGGTGAGCATGAAAGATAAATTTGAATGTCGTCAGCAAATATCATGTGAAGCACATAACGCAAAATTTCACATATGTCATTGATGAATAATATAAACAAGAGAGGGCCAAGTACGGAACCTTGCGGAACTCCAGATGAGGTAAATACCCAATCAGAGAGGTTCCCAGCATCGTCAATAACCGCTTGAGAACGGCCAGTTAAATACGAGAATATCCAGTTTAGGACTGCAACTGAAAAGCCAATTTCTTTAAGCTTGATAAGTAGCAGTAAGTGGGGAACAGTGTCAAACGCCTTGCTGAAATCAAAGAGAATCATAATAGTGATTAAACCTTCATCAATTCCCTGCTTGATGTCGTTGCAAACACGTAGAAGAGCTGACTGAGTATTATAACTCGAGCGATACGCAGACTGTCTGGGATTGAGGATGTCATGCTCGTGTAAATAGTCAAGTATTTGTGCAGCCACAATCTTCTCGAATACTTTAGACAGTTCTGGCAAGTTAGCAATCAGTCTAGTGTCAGACGGAGAAAGAGGTGTTCGAATTTTTGAGAGCGGACGAATATAAGCTCTCTTCCACTCAGACGGAAACACAGAAGAATGTAGAGATCGATTCAGCAAAGACGTCAAACATGACGAGATAATTGGCCAAGCAATACGCAAAACATACAAAGGAATACCATCGGCACCAGATGCATATGAATGAAGAGGCTTCTCAGAAATAGCCTCAAAAACAGAGCGAGGTGAGACAGAAGAGAAAACGAATTCAGGCCTATTAACAGGAGGGCTTACTAGAGCAATGGCCGAGATATAATCAGAATACATGCAAGGAGGCTGGGCATTAGAAACCGAAGCATAGTATAGGTTAAGCTGATTAGACGTAAAAAAATGTAACGGAGAAATAAGAGTCGATTTCGCAAGTCCCAGCCGAGCCAATTCCCGCCATAATTTAGCCGAATCAGTAATATTGATGAGTGAGTTTTAATGAAAATCACTCTTAGCACGCTTGATATCCGCATTCAGCTGGTTACGGAAAAGTCTGTAGGTCGCGTAGCCCAATAGAGAGCGGGAACGTTTAGCCTGTTTGTATAACTGATTGCGGACACGCATACGAGCCACCAATTCCGACGTAAGCCATCGTGCTGGAGGCCTTCTGACCACGAATGCCCTCAAGGGAGCAAACACATCAAGAGTCTGCAACAAATTGCGAGACAGCACGCTGCAGAAACCGTCAACATTAGTGTCAGACAGCTCGCCAGTCTCAGCCTGAACCACATCAGCAATAGATCTAAGATGTTCAACAAATTCAGAAGCATCAATGTCTTTGAAGTTTCGTCGAGACATGGAGCGTTGAGATACAAGACTAACATTAATTGATAAAGACAATTCCAAAATATCGTGACCAGCAATGAACGGGCACGAAGATTTCGTGAATGATGAAACTTTGTCTGCATCATCCACAGCCAAAACATCTAGCCATGAATCTGAGGTAGCCGTATGATAGGTAGGTTCAGAGTTGATAATATGCAAAGATAGACTGGACATAAGCGCACGCAGATAATTTGCTTCATAGCAATCAGAGGATAAATTACAATTTAGGTCTCCCTCTATGACTATATTTTTGTAAAGATGTGAGAATCCAGCTAGAGACTCAACAAAGTCATGCAAGAAGAGGCCTTTAGGTCTTCTGTAGATGGACGCAAATAACACTGATTGACTATCTGGGAAACGTAGTTCGATGAGCATGTACTCAGGTGAATTAATATAAAGATTGCTAGAGGTAGCTAGAATTTTGACTTGAAGTGACTTGTTAACATAACATGCTACACCCCCGCCCATCCGTCCCACTCTGTCATGCCGCAACAAAAAATAATTATCTAAGGCAACCAAATTGTCGGAGATATCTGCATGAAGCCAAGTTTCAGATACGGAAATAACATGGTAAGATTTGGTCATAAGGTGTAATCGGATGAATTCAATATGACCACGCAAAGAATTCGCATTAAATTGAGCTACTAGAAATTCAGTTGACCTAGAAACAGGGCGACAATGCATAACGGAAGACGATGAGCGATTAGCATGGGTGAGTCAGACAAGCTTATCAAGATCTGCGTGGGAATCGATCCGAATAACAGGCTTGCCATCGGAATGTCTAACATGAATGCGACCCCTCTTTACCCATACATAACGATATGACCGCTCCTTAGCGACGCGTTTAGTTTGTTGCAGCAATTCGTAGCTGTCCTTAGAGAGCATCTCATTAATATATACAAAACTTTTTGAGTCGTTACCACAAATCTCACCCTGCCTGATTGTGCCTTTGGTTCGCTTTTTCGAGATAATCAGATCACGAACAGTACTAGAGGTTACAGTAATGATTAGTGAGTTACCAGTTGCGGCATTAGTTTGAGAAGACGAAGAACCAGGGGGAGACTTGCGAACGGCTCTCACATTAAGAACATGAGGTGAGATGCTAGAAGCGTCAAGCACCGCAAGCATATTCAGAGCAGCCACCGACGGAGCAACAGAGAGCGGTTCCGGCAGCCCAGACACGATGATCTCGTTATCGTTGCAATCCTGCCGACCCAAGTGAGTCGCTTTTAAATCCTGTAGTTCCCTCTTAAGAGCCGCGTTCTCCAGTTCCAACGAGGAAATGCGCTGAGTATTACTAGCTACGGTTTCGGATAAGCTATTAATCTGATCGAGCTTACTATTAATTACATCGTTTGTACGTTGCTGACTCTCAATGAAGGCTGAAATTCTAAGATCGGACCTTGTAATGTCATCATTGATTCTCTGCTGATTGTCGATGAACGCAGAGATCTTAGAGTCAGACTGCTTCATCTGCTCGATCAGACTTAACAAAAGCTCATCTGTCGCAGGCAATGGGGCTGATGAGGTCGACTGAGTACGCGAGTCAGTTAAAGAGGCCATATTATCAAACTCGAAAGAAAGTGCGGTATTATCAGTTGTTGGTGTAACAGGGGGTAAAGCCAATGACGATAAAAGAGATACACAACACGATTCAGCGTACCTTGACACTGAATACGCCCTAATACACCCAGGATGAAACACCCTACTGCACCCGCTGCACTCAATCGACCTGTTCGCTATTGATTTCTTACATTTGCAACACGTAGGCTGCATGTGTGCTTAGCTTAACTGACCCCAACACGAAAACACACGCAAAAACTATATATACACGCAAAAACTATATATACAAAGTTCATCAAGATGCAAGCAAGAGTCAATCAGATGAGAGCCCAGATGAGCGCGTGCAGACACTCCGCGTACACTTTGCCGACCTGACAGTAATGTCAACGCTCGAGATCGATCAATCGCACGCAGGTCAGCCAATCAGATCACAGCAACACCGCACAGGTCAGCCAACAGGATGATCGAACTCACGTAGATCGCTAAAAGTACCACTCCAACGGCATGCACACTTCGGAAATAAAGTGTAGAAAGAGCAGGTCAGATAGTCGGCACATGCGCAACAGGGGTCGACGTCCTTCAAGAATAATTCTCAGAATTTAGGTTACGATCATGAGAAATATTCGTCACTCAAATGCCAATAATCAGGCGATAGCAGAGAGGAGATATGAATAGCTCGTGACAAGCAGCAAGAAAAACATGCTCACACCTGTAACAAAGGAGCCCAAAGGCAGCTTACGGCAGAGATATGTCGATTCAAAGCAGGAGCAACACAACAGACATGCACGCTGTACTCACCAGAGAGAGAGAGAGAGAGAGAGAGAGAGAGAGAGAGAGAGAGAGACTATTTGCGTGTCTGATTACATATGTCCTCCGGGGCGAAGCCCGGGTAACCAGCTAGTCTTAAAATGTTCCTTAATTTATGTACTTTCAAAATATGCACAATGAGATTTCCGTGCTCATCCCCTTCAGCCGGCCAGAACGTTAGCACCCCATACGTACAAGAGTAAAGTACCAGTTAAAATATAGATAGCAAATTGGTTCTAGTCTTAAAAAGTTCTTTAATTTATGTGCTTTCAAAATATCCACAATGAGATTTCCATGCTCATCCCCTTCAGCCGACCAGAACGTTAGCACCCCATACGTACAAGAGTAAAGTACCAGTTAAAATACAGATAGCAAATTGGTTCTAGTCTTAAAATGTTCCTCAATTTATATGCTTTTAAAATGTACAGAATAAGATTTTTGTGCTCATCTCTTTCGTCCAACAAACTTTTCTGAAAGTGAGCACCACTATACTTACAAGTGTAAAGTGCTTACTAACATAACAATTTGTTTCCAGCCTATTGATTATAAGCTGAAAATGTTTTATGAGCTTGTGGAATATGTATAATAAAATTTTAATATACATGACATAAAACATTTTCTGCTTATAATCAATAGGCTGGAAACAAAAATTGTTATGTTAGTAAGCACCTTACACTTGTAAGTATAGTGGTGCTCACTTTCAGGAAGGTTTGTCGGACGAAAGAAATGAGCACAAAAATCTTATTTTGTACATTTTAAAAGCATATAAATTGAGGAACATTTTAAGACTAGAACCAATTCGCTATCTATATTTTAACTGGTACTTTACTCTTGTACGTATGGGATGCTAATGTTCTGGCCGGCTGAAGGGGATGAGCACGGAAATCTCATTGTGGATATTTTGAAAGCACATAAATTAAGGAACATTTTAAGACTAGAACCAAT